GGAATCCTGGGCTATAGCTCTGATATGCACTTTCAAGTACAGTAGCCAGGAAAAAGGCATGTTTTAAAATCAGGCTGTCTGTCTTGAGCATTTATTTCTTTCCCATTGTTATTTTCCATGTCTTCCTCATAATTTTGGAATATATGGGTGTACAAACTCCTGTATTCACAATCTCTATAGGAATGTGTCTTGCCATTTCATGTTCAATCTTCACCATCCTCTGTGGATTGGACAGAAACTCTCTCTCTCTCTTGGGAGTTTCTCTTTTTCCTGTGTCCATACCAAGTTTTTAAGATTCTCAGGTCTTTGGACCTTGTTCTTCCCATTAAAACCTCTTGTGTCTTTTTATAATATTTTTTTCCTAATGCATTTGTCTGTTGCCTGGGAGTTTTGGCTCTTAGGATGAAATTAGCTAGAAATCCTGTCAGCAAATTTGCCTCAATCACTTGGAAAGAGATGGGTTCACCAAGTGGATCACATGTTCTGAATAATCCAGCTAAAATTCTTGAGCCTCTTAAGTCCCATGTTCCTTCTGCCCACTGAACATGAGATTAGGTGTGATAACAGGTATCTTGCAGGTTATATGTATCCTCTAATAAGAGCCAAACAGAACTGTTTCCAGGAGATACACTCCCTTGGGCTGCACTTTTCTCTTTTTTCTCTCTGAATTATAATCTCTCAAACCAAATGCTATGGTCTGAATATAAGGTTTCCTCAAAACACTCATGTGTGAGATAATGTAAGAAGGCTTAGAGATGGAACAATTGAGTTAGGACAGCCTTAACATTATCAACACATTAATTTCCTGATAGGATTAACTAAGTAGTAACTATAGGCTGACATGGTGAGTCCCTGGGGGTGTACCTTTGGAATATATATTATTTCTCTGCTGAGCAGACCTCTCTCTCATCCCTGATGTGATCTATTAAACTGCTTCTCTCCACCACACCCTTTTGACATGATGTTAAGCATCACCTTGAGCCCTGAGGAATGGAGAAGGCTGTCTATGAAATGAGATCTCTGAAACTGTGAGCCCTTAAATAAACTTTTTCTCCTGTATATTTGTTCTTGTAAAGTCTTTGGTCACAGCAGTGAAAAGCTGACTGAAATGCTGAAAAATTCTCTGGAAACCTTTGTGAACATATGCCTGATAAGTCATCTGTTATAGATCTTCAGGTCCATGATAAAGGTGCTCATCTGTACAGATTTGCACAAACAATAATACTGTCATTTCTAAGAGAATGAGATTCTCCTTTGTCTTGATTATGGCAACCCTTTTTTGTCCTCTATCCTTGCAATGAGAATGTACCTCATCCAATCCCACATCCCATTGGAAAACGAGATTGTGGTTCTTGGAGGAGCTTTCAAAAATTCAGATAATAATATAGTTAAAATCTATTGAGTTCCTCTGACAAGTCAAACACTTGAATGAACACTTTATATAGTTCAGTTGTCCATCAGATAGAAAGGCCTCATGGTTCAGGTCTTGTATGATGCCCTCTTCTGCCTTCTAGCCAATAGAATGTTGCAAAGACAGAGCGGGATTTTTCAAAAATGATCAATTTTGAATAAGCAAAGTAAAGATCATCTCTGTTGAGATGCACTTCATCTGGAAAAAGCCCTTAAAAGACAGATTGGGTCTTTACAAGAGAGATTAGGCAAAATTTTTTCTTGTTTGGTATCTAGAATAAGTAAGATGTCATGTTGTGAGAGGAACTATGGAGAGGACTATGTGGCAAGAAACTAAAGGCAGCCTCCAGGAGCTGAGAACAATGAAGACAAAAGCCAGAAAGAAAATGGGAACTTCAGTCCTATGATCCAAGGAACTGAATTCTGCCTACATTACACTTGCATGCAGCTTTATTCCAGTTAAACCTACATGAGAAAATAACTCTGTTCAAACCTGCATCGCAGGATTCTGAGACCCTGAGAAGAGGACTCAGTCAAGCAGGGCTTTTTACTAATTGGCTGAGGGTTCTTTTGATCAATATGTATAGAAATTGGAAAAATACAAAGTGCAGCTCCCTCAGTGATATCAGCTATAAGCCATGGATGCCAAGAGCTCTCAGCCCTTACTGTTGCAGCTATCCTAGTTGCTCTCAGCAGCTGTACTTAGCAACTTGCCATAGCACTCCACAGCCAGAGCTAACCATTCCTAGCAGCAAATGAAGCCAGAAGCTAACAGCTCTCAGCAGCACCACTGTTGGTCTCCCAGCAGCTCTTGACCATTCTCTGAAGTGTTTCAGTCTCTCTGGCCGCACAGTATTCTGAAGTAGCAACCCTTGGTATTATCAGATTTTAGTACAACCATTTAGCTTGCTGTATTAGTATGAGAAATTATAAATAGTCAAAATAAAACCATCCAAAAAAAAAAGCTTTGGGGGGTTTATACTGCATCACAGTGGGGTGAGGTATTGGGCAGTGCAGTGCTAGAGCTCCCCAATTAGCCCAGTAGGACTGAAAGGAATACTGCATATATATACAAAAGGGGCAGAGCCAACTATATGCACAGTCTCTTGCCTGTTGACCACAGCTCTCTGCACTGTAGGGCCAGGCTATGCAGGCATCCTAGGCTCACCTGTTCGACTGTCTGTCATGGGTGGAAGAGATGCTGTTTATATACCAGAGTGGCAACATCTGAAGCAGTGATAAGGTAGGCAGAGACATCCAGAGTGGTAGTAGTCAGAATAGTCTGGGGTGGTAACATGGTCTGAAGCGTTGCAACTAAATGGAGTGCCCTGTAGACATCTTGAGACACCTGGACCAGCTATAGTTGTCATTATTACACCTGGGCTGGTCTGCTAAAGAAGCAGTCACTTTATTGGCAACTCCCATTGTTAATATTGTAGTGGTGTGAATGAAGTCAGGTTGTTTCTGCCTCCAATTTAATTTCAGAAGCAGTGGTTTTGATCAGATACCTTTTAGATGAGGAGTCTGAGGGGATGAATGACATCAGCAGCCCCTTAATCCTTCCTGGCTGAGTGCAGTGATCATGGCATGAATCATGGCAGATAACTGTCAGTCTAGTGGCCAGGCACTGGAGCTGGCAGTGGTACCATTGAAATACAGTGAGGCCACAGCAACCACAAACACTTGCAGATGTCTTTACTCATCCCTCAGGGATAGATGAGGCCACTGCCTGGTTTTGCAGGTAATTTTAAATGGTCCCAGGTCTGATCCTTACTCTACTTCCATCTTGTTCAGCAAGCTCAGGATGGTAGCAGCTGCAATGATAGTGTACCAGGGAGAGACTTGACAGCTGTCGGTTGAACAGCTGATCCAGAGATGACCTGCATCACAAATTATCTGGCAGATCTGGATATTTAAAAGGAAAGAATGGAAAAATATATTCAGAGCATTCTAAGTGCAATGATTAGAGATAAAGATACTTGTATTAATGATGATCTGGTAACAAAGGACTTCACTTGTTATGTATTACCCACAGATAATAAAATCCTTGATTATCTGGAAAAAAGCAAGATTCAATACAAGATAACTTTCTTCTCCAGCAAATTCAATCCAGCATTTACTATTTGGCCAAAGTTTTTACAAGGAGAGACCTTCTCTTGGGGAAGATATTGCCTCCTATTCTATCTCAGTGCCTAGACTCGTGAAACACATTTTGATTGATGTGTGTTGTTTGAAGGTAATAATTTTGTGCTAATTTGTTACACAGTGATACAAAAATAATATATGTTTTAGGTAAGGAAAAGTTCAATGCTGTTCTAGCAAATACTGAAAATCGTGGGAGCATATTTGGAATCAGGCCTGAAGCTGGAAGATAGAAGAATATTGAGGAACATGACAGAGACATTTTAAAGAACCTTAAATGGACCATTAGTAGAAACCTGGACTCAGGATGCTGAAGTGAGTGCTCAGAAGAAAGTATGGAACATGTCATCAGAACAAAAGGAAAAATATCCTTATTATATGGTGGCAGAAAGCCTTGTAAAATTATGTCCTGGAGTTATATACATACCAGAACCTTTAAGTGATAAAATTGCTTATATATATAAGGAATTTCCAAAGTGTTGAAGTGACTCCTGATTTCTTCTTGCTGACAATAATAAAATATAAGTGGAGTGTTAAACTGAGGAAATGATTCTCAAACAAAGAGAAACCAGACCTCTGTGATGTTGGAATTTCTCATGAACTCCAAAAGGCAAACACATTAGAGTTAATAGTTTCAGTCATGATTGCAGTATATGATTGTATGATCTTTTTCTAAAAATAAGCAGGTACACAAATTACTCTTTCAAGAAATAAGATTTGCCTCTAAAATACCAATCAAACTAGAAGTCCCCGAGGAAGCTTTAGGACACTCTCTCTTTCCATCTTTTTTGATGGCTGGTGTGGGTTGGAATTATTTAAGGAACAATTTGAAATCTTCTTTGGATAGACTTTCTTTTTCATATGTTTTCCCTGAAGTCTCAGTTCCTCTAGCCTGTGTTCAGCTGAGCTATTGGTACAAAATTTATTTTAATTCTTGGAGAAAAGGGAAAAAAGTCTCATCTGATATTTGCATTGGCTCAGTGTTGGGATATTCTCTTAATGCCTAGTCAGACCCTTTACCATTCCAACTCTTCACTTCCTGCATTTCCTGAGCCTAAATATCAGTCAGAAGTATAATCTTGAGTCTTCTCAAGCATTTACTTGGTATATACTCTGCTGTGGGAATGTATGTGGCTTTATCATTTCCTGCATTAGGAAGCATTCAAAGTTCTACTTCCCATTATATTCTCTCTCCCTAGTTTTTTCCATCAGATTTTTAACCCATCTACAGTTTTCCTCATTTTCTTTTTTCACAGGAAATAAGGTTAACGCATTTTCCTTGTAATATTTTTATGGAATATCCTTAAAAAGTCATTTTTGTGACCTAAGAGAACCCAAAGGTAAGGGGAAGAAAAAGAAAAAGAGTTTCTTTGACAGTTCCTCAAATGGCACCAGATGGGTTGAACAGATGCAATTCATGAAAAATAAGATTTTCTCTGGTCTTTTAGATTTAGGGACCAAGATTCTACTCTGGGAATAAGACTGTTCTCTTCAAGACCACTGCTGAACAGGGGAGGACTCTGAACCAAGAGTAAGTAAAACTGCCACAGCATTCCCCTACCACTTTTATGTTGCCTTTTTATTGTTTCAGCATTCACCTTGCAATCGTAAACCTTTGGCTAATTTCCAGGGTTCCAGCAAAGATGATTCTGATAGTTTCACTTGTTTGTCCCATGTTTCATTGAAAATGTAGAGCACTGGAGCCACTCACTTATCACATAAAATGTGACTCCTGTATGATTTATTTCATAATCTACATAATCTGCTATTGAACTATATGTTTAAATCAGATGGAGAAGATTTGAAAGTATGAAGTCTGATTGTAAGTTATTACAGAGTGACATAAATTGAGGGCTGCTCTTTGGAGCATAGACAAAGAAATACTAAAATAGGATGAATTTGATGAGAGTTTTGATAAACAGATGATGAGTGCAATTTGGGACATCTTCTTTTAATGTACCTTCAAAGAGAGTTCTGGCTGGTGAAGACCGCATCCATGTCTTAGGCTGATCACTAGACTGACTCTCAAAATGCATACTGTCATTCCTTCATTCAAGACATTCAATTTTCTTCACCCCTTTCCCCTACTGGCCAACAACAACAACCAAAAAATTGAATGTCCTATGTCCATAACTCCCGTTTTATTCTGTATAGGCCAAAGGCGTATCAATCATTAGAGACACAATGAAAACATTGTATATATTCTCCTACATGTAGCTATTAGGCTGGGTTGTTTCCTTATTGTTACAGTGTTCTTTATAATTAATGAATTGCTAGTTTTTTGTATCAGTTACATAAGGACTTTTGGCAAATCTTTCTGAAGTGATTACTGATTTTCAATTTCTCCATGCAATACTGTAAATTTCTGTTTTATTTTATAATAGATTATTTTAGATAATTTTTATATTCAAAAACAAAACAGAGGAGAAGGTAGAGAGATTTCTTATCTATCACTTTTTCCTCTACTGTCTAGCCATGTTACCAACATCTGCCACCAGAATGGTACTTTTTTAAACACTGATGAATCTACACTGACACATCAATATCACCTCAAATCCATAGTTTACATTATTGTTAACTTTTGGTGTTGTACATTCTTTTGAGTTTTGACACATGTTTAATGATATGCATCCACACTTATATAATCATACAGAATGCTTTTCCTACCCCCAAAATTCTCTGTACTTCACCAGTTCATCCTTCCATCCCAATTAAACTCTGGAAATATACTTTTACTATTTTCATACTTTGACTTTTCCCAGAAAATTGTGTTATTAGAACCATATAGTAAATAGTCTTTTCCGGTTGACTTTCTTCACTGAGTACTACACATGTAAGTGTCCTATACATCTTTTCATTTTTTTCATAATAGATTTTATATTAGTGCTGAATTACATCCCATCATCTACATATGCCACAATGTATTTACCCATCTAACTACTGAATAAAATCTTTTGTTATCTTTAAGGTTTTGCAATTGTGAATAAATCTTCCACAAACATCTGTGTACAGGTTTTTTTATGGATATGGTTTCAACTCCTCTGTATGAATATCAAGGATTTTTACTGCTGAGCTCTACATATTTTTCTTTTGATGGCCCATTATTCCTTCCTGGATGTTTAAAAATCTGTGGGTGACATTTCCCTTCTTCTGAGTGAAGGATGTGAGGAAAATGACACTTAAGACAGTATGTGGTCTGGGGTAAAGAAAAGAAAAAAAAATTAATCCTTCCCATCAGTCATTTCCCTGCAGCAAGACAGACCCTGGAAAGCAAATAGCCATTAACCTGAGAATATCAATCTTGCCCCCATGACAATACCATGACCCTGGGGAAGGTAAGGCAAGCACTGGACCCTGACCTCTAACCTCCATGCCTGCCCTGTAAAAACACTGCCTAACAGAAACTATGACCAGTAAAATCAAGTACCAGATGTTCACAACCTACCCCTGGCCAGATAAAGTTTTCACAGACTAAATGTAGTCTATGTAAACCCATATACCTCCCATAATCAGTGCCATTTTCCATCCAGGAAGTGTACCCAGAAGCTCAGATTCCTGTCTGCACTGCTGTATAAAGGTTTTCCTGAATTCATAAGGTCTGTAACTTTTTCAGTCATTTTGTGCTTGCACTGAAGAATGCAATATTTTATATCTTTTACTGTGCATTTTCTAGTGGTGAATCCTCTTATTTTTTGTTTTCAGTGTTCACTTTGTATCATAATTCTTCAAGATTATATTATTTTGTATAGAAATTGCCTGTTATTTTCCTTCAGAGCATTAAAGACTCCATTCTCTTCTTTTGGCTTCCACTAGAGCTGCACAGAAGTCAGCTCTCTTTACCAGGTATTTTAACAACTCATTATTTCTATCTTTTTGTCATCTTATTTCTTATTTTATGTCATTTTTTAAGTTTGTAATAATTCTGAAAGTAAATTCCTTTTATGTTTCTTGCATTTGTAAAGGTCTTAAATTTTTCTTTAACATGTAATGTGAAATTTCATTCATTTTTTAAAATACCTCTTAGTTGTTGATGGATCTTTATTTATTTATACATGGTGCTGAGAATCAAACCCAGTGACTCACACATGCTAGGCAAGTGCTCTACCACTGAGCCACAAACCCACAAACTCATCCATTATTTATTCAAATTATTTACCTCCTTTTTCAGATAGATACTTTCCACTACTGAATAAGCTTTTTGATGGTCTAAAGATTTGGGCTTAAATTTTTATTTATTGGAAATTTTAATGATGTTGTAGAATATAGGAAGCACAAGATAAAATGAGTATGATGTTCTGTTAGTGCACTTTGCATTGTGGTAACAGAATACCTGGGATGGGATAATTTATGAGGAATGGAAACTTATTAGCTCAGAGTTTTGGAGGCAGGAAATTTCAAGATCAAGTTTCCAGCTTCTGAGAAGCAATTTCTTGCTGGGTAATCACACAGCTGAAAGCAGAAGAAAAAGAAGTAAATAGGGACTTATTCACTGTTTATAATGTTATTAATGACACCTTCAAGGGCACCACCCTCTTGACCTTAAATTTCCCAAAGTTTCCACCTCACAATACCATTACAAAATATCTGAATTCCGATATGGGTTCTGGAGGAGACAAATATTCAAATGATAGCATTCTACACTCAGCCTCTCAAACTCATGCCCCTATCACATATAAAATACATTAATCCCCTCTTAATAATTTAAAAATTCTTTTATTAATTTTTTATTTATATATGACAGTGGAATCCATTACAATTCACATTACACATATAGAGCACAATTTTTCTTATCTCTGGTATACAAAGTATATTCACACCAATTAGTCTCTTCATACATGTACTTAGGTTAATGATGTCCATCACATTCCATCATCATTGCTAATCCCCTACCCCTGTCCCTGTCCCTTGCCCTCCAACCCCTCTGCCCTATCTAGAGTTCATCTATTCCTCCATGCTCCCTCTCCCTACCCCACTATGAATCAGCCTCCTTATATCAGAGAAAACATTCACCATTTGTTTGTTGGGGATTGGTTAATTTTCACTGATATACAGAAATGCCTTTGATTTATGGATGTTGATTTTATATCCTGCAACTTCACCTAGCATTATCTTCTATAACTCCATCCATTTACCTGCAAATGCCATGATTTTATTCTCTTTTATTGCTGAGTAATATTCCATTGTGTGTATATGCCACATTTTTTAATTTATCCATCTACTGAAGGGCATCTAGATTGGTTCCACAGTTTAACTATTGTAAATTGTGCTGCTATAAACATCGATGTGGGTGTGTCCCTATAGTTTGCTGTTCTTAAGTCTTTTGGGTATAGATTGAGGAAAGAGATAGCTGGGTCAAATAGTGGTTCCTTTCCCAGATTTCCAAAGAATCTCCATACTGCTTTCCATATTAGCTTCACCAATTTGCAGTCCCACCAGCAATGTATGAGTGTACCTTTTTCCCCATATTCTCGCCAACACTTGTTGTTTGTCTTCATAATAGCTGCCATTCTGACTGAAGTGAGATGTTATCTTAGAGTAGTTTTGGTTTGCAATTCTCTAATAGCTAGACATGATGAACATTTTTTCATATATTTTTTTTGATTGATTGTATATCCTCTTCTGAGAAGTGTCTGTTCAGGTCCTTGGCCCATTTGTTGATTGGGTTATTTGTTTTTTTGGTGCTTAGTTTTTTGAGTTCTTTATATACCCTAGAGACTAGTGCTCTATCTGATGTGTGAGGGGTAAAAATTTGCTTCCAGAATGTAGGCTCTCTGTTTACCTCACAGATTGTTTCTTTTGCTGAGAAGAAACTTTTTAATTAGTTTGATTCCATCTCATTTATTGATTCTTGGTTTTAATTCTTGCACTATTGGAGTCTTATTAAGGAAGTTGGGGCCTAATCCCTCATGATGAAGATTAGGGCTTACTTTTTCTTCTGTTAGATGCAGTCTCTGGTTTAATTCCTAGATCTTTGATCCACTGAGTTGAGTATTGTGCATGGTGAGAGATGGGGGTTTAATTTCATTTTGTTGCATATGGAATTCCAGTTTTCCCAGCACCATTTGTTAAAGGTGCTATCGTCTCTCCAGTGCATGTTTTTGGCACCTTTGTCTAATATCAGATAATTGTAATTTTGTGGTTAGTGTCTGTGTCCTCTATTCTATACCATTGATCTACTAGTCTGTTTTGGTGCTAATATCATTCTGTTTTTGTTACTTTTTCTCTGTGGTATACTTTAAGATCTGGTATGTGATGCCACCTACTTCACTCTTCCTGCTCTGGATTGCTTTAGTTATTCTGGGTCTCTTATTTTTTTCCAGATGAATTTCATGATTGATTTTTCTATTTCTATGAGGAATGTCATTGGTATTTTGACAGGAATTACACTATATCTGTATAGTGCTTTTGGTAGTAAGGTCATTTTGATAACATTAATTCTGCCTATCCAAGAGTAAGTTATATCTTTCCATCTTCTAAGGTCTTTTTGATTTCTTTCTTTAGAGTTCTGAGGTTTTCATTGTATAGATCTTTCACCTCTTTTGTTAAGTTGATTCCCAAGAATCTTTTTTTTTTTTGAGGTTATTGTGAATGGGGTGGTTTTCCTCATTTCCTTCTCAGAGGATTTTTCACTGATATACAGAAATACCTTTGATTTATGGATGTTGATTTTATATCCTGCAACTTTGCTGAATTCGTTTACTAGATCTAGTAGTTTTCTGGTGGAGCTTTTTGGGTCTTCTAGGTATAGAATCAAATCATCAGCAAATAGTGCTAATTTAAGTTCTTCTTTTCCTATACATATCCCTTTAATTTCTTTTATCTAACTGCTCTCGCCAGTGTTTCAAGAACTATGTTGAATAGAAGTGGTAAAAGAAGGCATCCCTGTCTTGTACCAGTTTTTAGAGGGAATGCTTTTAATTTTCCTCCATTTAGAATGATGTTGGTCTGAGGCTTACAGTAGATAGCTTTTATGAAGTTGGGATATGTTCATGTTATCCTTAGTTTTTCTAGTGTTTTGAACATGAAAGGATACTGTATTTTGTCAAATGCTTTTCCTGCATCTATTGAGATGATCATATGACTTTTATCTTTAAGTCTACTGATGTGAGGAATTACATTTATTGATTTCTGTATGTTGAACCAACCTTGCATCCCTGAGATGAATCCCACTTGATCATGGTGCAAAATCTTTTTGGTATGTTTTTGTATTCTATTTGCCAGAATTTTGCTGAGAATTTTTGTTCATTAGAGATATTGGTATGAAGTTTTCTTTCTTTGAAGTGTCTTTGTCTGGTTTTGGAATCAGGGTGATATTGGCCTCTTAGAGTTTGGAAGTGCTCCCTCTTTTTATATTTCCTGAAATAAATTGTTATTTATTAGTATTAGTTTTTCTTTAAAGATCTTGTAGAACTCAGCTGTGTATCTTTCTGCTGCTGGTTTTTTCTTGGTTATTAATCTTTTGATGGCTTTGTCTATTTCCTCACTTATTATTGGTCTGTTTAAGTTGTGTATATCTTCCTGACTCAATCTATGCAGATCATATTACTTAAGACTATTTGTTGGTGCCTTCAATGTCTTCTATTTTATTGGAGTATAAGGTTTTAAAATAATTTCTAATTTTCCTCTGTATTTCTGTTGTGTCTGTTATGATATTGCCATTTTCATCACATATACTGGTAATTTGAGTTCTCTCTCCCCTACTCTTCATTAGCATGGCTAAGGATCTGTCAATTTTATTTATTTTTTCAAAAAAAGCCAACATTTTGTTTTGTCAATTTTTTGAATTGTTTCTTTTGTTTTGATTTTATTGATTTCAGCTCTAATTTTAATTATTTGTGCCTTGTACTGCTTTTGCTGCTGATTCGTTCTTCTTTTTCTAGGGCTTTGAGATGTAGTGTGAGGTCATTTATTTGTTGACTTTTTCTTCTTTTAAGGAATAAACTCCATGCAATGAATTTTCCTCTTAGTACTGCTTTTATAGTGTCCCAGAGATTTCGATATGTTGTGTCTGTGTTCTCATTTACCTCTAAGAATTTTTTAATCTCCTCCTTGATGTCTTCTGTAACCCATTGTTCATTTAGTAGCATATTGTTCAGTCGCCATGTAATGCAGAAATTTTTATTTTTTATTTTGTTGTTGATTTCCAGTTTCATTCCATTATGATCTGATAAAAATGCATGGTAGTATCTCTACTTTTTGTTTTTGCTAAGAGTTGCTTTGTGGCATAGTATATGGTCTATTTTAGAGAAGGATCCATGTGCTGCTGAGAAGAAAGTGATGCAGGTTGAAACATTCTATATATGTCAATTAAGTCTAAGTTATTGATTGTATTATTGAGTTCTATAGTTTCTTATTCAACTTTTGTTTTGAAGATCTCCAGTGGTGAGAAAGGTGTGTTAAAGTTCCCCAAGATTATTGTGTTGTGGTCAATTTGACTCTTGAACTTGAGTAGAATTTGTTGGATGAACAAAGCTGTACCATTGTTTGGGGCTTATATATTTATGATTGTTATGTTTTGTTGGTGTATGGTTCCCTTGAGCAGTATGTAATGTCCATATTTATCCCTTTTTATTATTATTGGCTTTCAGACTACTTGATTTGATACGAGGATAGAAACCCCTGCTTGTTTCTGCATTTTATGTGAGTGGTATGATTTTTCCCAACCTTTCACCTTCAGTCTGTGGTTGTCTTTTCCTATGAGTCTCTTGGAGGCAGCATATTGTTTTGTTTTGTTTTTTTGATCTAATCTGCTAATTTATATCTTTTGATTGGTGAGTTTAGGCCATTAACATTCAGGGTTATTATTGAGACATGATTTGTATTCCCAGCCATTTTTTTGTTTACTTTTGGTATTTAATGTGACTTGGTTTCTCCTCTGATTAGATTTTTCTTTAGTGTAAACCCTCCCTCTGCTGATTTTTTAATCATTGTTTTACATTTTCTCTTTGTGGAATATTTTGCTGAGAATGTTCTGTAGTGTAGGCTTTCTAGTTGTAAAGTCTTTTAACTTTTGTTTATCATAGAAAGTTTTTATTTCATCATTAAAACAAAAGCTTAATTTTGCTGGAAATAAGATTCTTGGTTGGCATCCATTTTCTTTCAGAGATTGGTATATGTCGTTTCACGATATCCTGGCTTTGAGGGTCTGGGTTGAAAAATCTGCTGAGATCCAAATTGGTCTCCCCTTATATGTGATGTGATTCCTCTCTCCTGTGGCTTTTAAGAGTCTATCCTTATTCTGTTTGCTAGGCATTTTCATTATAATGTGCTTTAGTGTATATCTGTTGTAATTTTGTACATTTGGTGTCCTGTAGGCCTCTTGTATTTGGTTATACAATCCATTCTTCATGCTTGAGAAATTTTCTGATATTATCTCATTAAAGAGATTGTGCATTTTTTGGTTTGAAACTCTGTGCCTTCCTCTATCCCAATAACTCTTACATTTGGCCTTTTGATTCTGTCCCATAATTCTTGGATGTTCTGATCATGGTTTCTTACTATCTTCACTGTGTGATCACTTTATTTTCCAGATTGTATATTTTGTCTTCATTATCTGATGCTCCTTCTTCCAAGTGATCTAGTCTTGTGGTGATTCTTTTTGAGTTTTTCATTGGATTTATTGTTTCCTTCATTTCAAAGATTTCTGACTGTTTTTTTTTTCCATCTTCCATCTAAGCATATGGACTGCAGTGTCATAGGCTGCAAGACACTAATAAAATCCTGGATTGAGGAGATCATCGTGAGCTATATTCATAGAATTGGATGACATCTATATATAAATAATTATTCATAAAATTAATAGAAATATTAACTAGGTGAAGATGAAATATAGAAGTTAGAGGTGTAAATTAGATTAGAAGTTCATTTTAAACTACAAGAAAGTAAATAAGCATTAAATAACTTAAGACAAACTGACAGTGATAGGAATGAAACAATTCAAAGGAAAAATATAGAAGAAAGATAACCAAATGGTGGTATCGCACTATTTGAAAAAATAAGCATTGACCTTAGAAACACATGGATATTGGCAAACTCCATTCCTCAGCCTCATCCTTTCCATGCAATTGAGCTTGTGTAGTGAGTGCCCAAAGCAAGCTATTAACTTGCAATTCACCATAGCATATTTTTTTAAAAGTCTATCCTCACAGTACACTCAATTATGTCTAGAATATGCACAGAAAAGTTTTGATAAAAATGTATTTTATATAAGTAAAGCAGGAGTTGAGAAGAACTTTGAGACTAGCTTTCCTAATACATTCATACTTTTCATCATGTGGCTGACACTTCCTAATCTCAGGACCCAGTCAACACTAACTGAATGTCTTTTTTTCACACAGCCATGGACACAAGCGAGCAGATGCCTGATGAGCCTCTCCTCAGAAGCAAAAGGAAGCAAGATCTTCCAGAGATGCTCAGAGAAGTAGGACTGGAAGTTGAGTACTGGTTGATCAAGCTGAAGGAAGTCCTGGGTGTGACCTGTGCCCAGTCATTGAGTTATTTAAAAGAAAAAGACCTCCAGAAGCTGAAATATGAGGTAAAATATCCATGGGAGCAAAGGGCCCTGGAGAAGCTGCTTGACCTGTCCCACTCAAATAGTCTTGCAGAGTTACAGGAGTCACCACTGGAGAGGAAAAAGGAGAAGCAGACAGAACAAGCAGTGAAAGAGATAAGGAACATGCTGTCAGAAAGGAGACAGAGACAGGAAGAGGCAGTGAAGAGAAAGGAAGCAGAGCTGAGGCAAGCCATGGAGATCCCTGAAGAGAACAGGCTGAAGCCTCCAAAGCCCCTAAGGGAAATCATGGAAATCATGAAGAAAGAACTCAGTCCTATGGAGCAGATGCCATCCAACAGGCCAAACCTCCCAGATAGAGATCTGGTAAGATGGTCATCTGGAGGGCTGGCCCTGCAGGGAATATACAAAACCTGCCACCACATGGACCTGATACAGAGGAGAGAGGAGCTACTCAGTGTCCCCAAGGAGTTCTCACTCCTTGGCCCTCAGCAGGGCACATTGATGAAATCTGAAGAATTTACATCTTCTCAAGCAGAAGTCATGTTCACCCAGTCTATGGAGAATTTAGGCTTCAGTTTAACTACTTCAGCCAAGGGTGGAGGTTGGGGATTTAGTTTAGAAACTGAACTGGATAAAAGCAAACATTCAGAATCCAAGCAAACCCACCTAACAAATTCTGAGTGCTCTTATTTCTGCTCAACCAAGTTCAGATACACTCCCATGGCATCCTGCCACTTCCCCATTGATCAGCTGCAGTTGTCCAATGCTGCTCTTCAGGAATTGAAATGCCTTGAAGACCTTATGGATCAGACTACAGACTCCCAGGAATCCCAGGTGCTGAAACACTGGAGTGAAAGATTCTTCCACAGGTTTGGCTCTCATGCTAACCAAGGCCCTCTGCACCTGGGAGGAATCTACTGGTGGAAGGCTGTCTCAAAGTGGTTCCAAAATTATCACCTAGTTGATATAAAGCAGCAGGCAATAGAGGCCCTGGATTTTTACATAAGTGGTGGCTACCATGGTTTTGGAATGAATGTTGCTGCAGGTATGAATGTGTCAGACTCACATTCAAAAGCAGCTATTCAGAACAAAACTTTTCAAAACCTCCAAACCAAATTCGAATTATCTGTGTCCAAGACAGGTGGACCACCAGAAGCAGATGACCTTGCTCAATGGAAAGCTGGCCTTGTTGCCAGCAATCAAACCTGGTGTGTCATTGACCGGGGATTCCAGCTGGTGCCTATTTGGGACATCATCCTCTCCAGCCACAGAAGTGATTTTAAGGATCCATGTAAGGTAGCTAAGTGTCTGAAAGACAACTACACTGCTCTGACTGGCCTTACTTCCCAAATCCAAGAGGGAGAGGAGATACTGAGTGTTAGGCAAGAGGTTAGAGTTTTCCTAGATGCTGTGAAGTCCTGGGAAGTCTCTGATCCTGAAGAACACCTTCAAAAGCTGATAAATTTTAAGCAAACACTGAGTCAAAAAACAAAAGTAAATGACACTTGGATTAACCTATGCCTCACAGATAAGGATCTGCAGACTTTTCTAGTCAATACCATCAATTTTTGCAAAATGTCTACCAATTGTAAAACAAATTATATTAAAATTCAGTTGTGCAGCCTTCTAGATCCTCACATCTACAAAGTGGAAAATTTTCCTCAGACTCACTCCATTATGCACTGGATCAAACAGTCAGATTCAGAGCAAGAGCAAGTCCACATCTCCCGATTTCCTGAATTCATTGAAAACTTAACAAAAACACACAAAGAATTCTTGGAAGTGAAGGTCCAAGAAAAAGTAGAAGAAGCTCAAAGAAAGGCCACATATGAGGTCTGCTTGGCTCTCAACAGCTTCTTGAGCCACTTGCAAGCAACAGAGCAGCCAGACACTCAGCTCTTGCTACTTTCCATTGCAGCTGGTGCAGGATATCAGGTGGGAAGCAATATTTTTAAGCCTCTCCTGGGGCCTGGTGAATTAAACTTCCTCCTGGATGAAATGAAAACTGCCTTTAATGAATACCAGAAGCTCAAAAGTATTTCCAGCTATAGGGCCCATGCATTCCTGGTGCTCACAGGTCTGACAGCCACAGCTGAATTAAGAGCTCTATCTACAGAAGAGAAGACAAAATGCATGGAATTTATAATAAAACACATGGGACAATTATTTTCTAAAGAAGTTGTACATGTCCTCACTAGATTTGAGGAAGATTATGATTGGGAAAACCTAGAAAGAAACTTGAGATTACTCATTGATGGAGATTATGAAGCCACCATCTCTTCTTTGAAAAGGGATGACGTTGAAAGAGAGCTACTAAAACTTTTCCATGAAAATAAATGGCCCTGTGAACCAGATATTAATGAAAATAACACAAATGAGGAAATAGATAATGAAGCCTTCCTAGACTTACTCCAGCGTCTAGGCCTACAACATTACTACCCTAAAAAAATGAGTAAAGCTAAATTTCATCTGATCTACAAGACTTCCCTTTACAACACTCAGCCCAATTCTGAAAAGGAACTTCCCTTTTATTTCCTTCAGAAGCTAATGTTGCTGGATTATGGACTGAGATACCTTGTCTTTAAAGACTATGGAAATAGAGAATCTAAGGTTTCTCCAAGTGCCTCCAGTCAGGAATATGAGGGTTTTGATCCATATGAAGACTTTGTTGAAGATAGTGATACTCTCACTGATCCTTTGACTACTGAGTCAAGGCCCCACATTCACCCCATGGATATCCAGATGACCATTTTTCACTGTGCAGATGATTTTGCCAGACAATATATTTTGACCAAACTTTCTACTTGTCAATTTGCCCTGCCTCTCCTGGTGCCAAATCCTTGCACTTCTCAAATCGAATTCTCTCTCTGGTCTCTCAGAAAAGTTAGGAGAAGTTGGCAGCAAGAAAAGAAATCACCACATGGGAAGAACAGTCATAAGTGTCAGCAGATGTGTTGTGT